CTGCCGGTGGACGTGTCTGTCCCCGCCGCGTGGGACCAGGGGAGTGTTCTCAGGCACCCCCGACCCTTCCTGTTCCCTCTGCGGAGTAAACAGCGCCGCATCTGCTTCCTGCCTGGTGCCGCTGCCCCTGCCCTGTGGGGAGCTGGAACACAACAGAGTTGTTTTCTTCTTGCCTCGCAGGGAATCGCTGTGGGAAACGGCCTCTCCTCCTACGAGATCAATGACAACTCCCTGGTTTACTTTGCCTATTACCACGGTCTGCTGGGGACCGAGTAAGAGGAGGGGGAGAGCAGCTGGGTAGGGGGCTGCTGCCGCTAGATGCGCTGTCCCTGCACAGGCAGGGTGGGGGCACGGTGTGGGACAGGGCTGGCTGGGTCAGTGGTGTGCGGGACAAGGGAAGCTCCTGGCCTGAGTTGGGCCAGCAGCCGGGCTGCGGTGGTGGCCCCTGGTCCTGGGCAGCTCCCACAGGCACATTCACTCACGGGGCGCACAGGGCACCAGGCCAGCCACGCGCTGTGCCACTGCGGGGCCGGGAGCCTGCAGCACGGCTGCGGCCACCACCGCTGGCTTTGTGTCGGCATTGCTGTCTGTGTAGTTCCAAGTCCCCTGGTCTCTGCCCGCAGGCTGTGGAGGGACTTGCAGGCCTTCTGCTGCTCCCAGGGGAAGTGCAACTTCCATGACAACTCCAACCTGAACTGCACGCTCAAGGTGAGGGGAGTCGGAGCCCCCGAGCGTGTGCCCAGTGCCGGTGTCTGTGCAGCACCCACCTGCCTGGCTCTGAATGGGCCCACAGTCCCTCACAGGTCCTGCTGAGTCCCAAACCCTTCTTGCGGCTCGTTGCAGATGGAGGAGGTGATCCAGATTGTAGAGGAGTCCGGCCTTAACATCTACAATCTCTATGCCCCGTGTGATGGTGGTGTCCCTGGGAGCATGAGGTGAGAGTGGCCCCAGGGAAAATGGGTCTCTGGGCACCAGTTCTCTTTGGTCTGCAGCGTGTGGGGTCCCGGCTGGCAGAGGGAGGTGGTGGGCTGGGCAGGGGGGACCGTGTCTGGCTGCTGTTCACGGCTCCCCCAGGGAGGGCCCTGAGCCCTTGTTCCTCCAGAGCTTTCAGCCTGTCCCTGTGCTCGTTCTGGCTGCAGGTACGAGGGTGGCTATCTCGTCACACATGACCTGGGCAACTCCTTCATCCGGATGCCGATGAGGTTCTCCTGGCGGCAGGTGAGCCCGGGCACCCGTGCCACCGGGCTGTGAGTGTCCTGTGCGCGGCCAGTGGTGCTGCCTGGGGGCAGGAGGGGGCAGAGAGTGGCTGCTCCCGTGGGGCAGCACCAGGTGCCGCTGTGGCAGAGACCCTCCCGACTCTCTCCCAGAACCTGCTCCGGATGCCGGT